CCCCCCCCCCCACCTTTGAGAAGCGATTGACGCCCCTGCTTGACGCGCCCCCCATGAAATGTTCCAGCCCCCCCCCCCCCCCGCCAGCGCCCCCCCCCCCTGAAAAATTCCTGGCTACGCCACTGCTCATATTGGGTCCAGCCCGGTTCATACTCGGCGCGAATTTGTGACGTCATGGAGAGTATTCGCGATGCAAATTCGCAAAAGTTGAACACATTTTACTCGGGCGAATTTGGCAGCGAATTTTTTCATGACGTAAAATTTGCTTCGCATTCGCTTTCGCATGAAGTATGAACCGGGCTGCTGCTATAATGCAGGTTTATGAATTTAACCAACAATTTCGCATAATTGTTATTCATCAATTTAATAGGTGGAGCAGGTGAATCAATTCGCACCATTTTTCATATCACCTGTTTATGGTTTTAATGTTATTGTTGTTGTTTTTTACCGCAGCCCCCGATGTTGTGGTGGATGGGAATTAATTCACAGTACCTGTGTTCCAGGTGAGACCAGTTTGATTTTGTTTTTTTTGTGTAAATAAAGATGACTGAGTTTCGCAAATGTCAAACTTTTTCCCAAAAAAATGTGTATCGAAGGTTTCGAAGCCATTCTTAAACCATGTCAACTTGACTGAGCCCGATTGTGCGTCTACTCGTCCAGTTCGACATAACAGGTACATGACTAAACGACGGCATACTAAAAAAAGAAGTCAACATGAAGTGAATGTTACAGTGATGTTTTTTCCCTGGAGTTTAAGAAGTATTTATTGAGACCATGACTTTTCCGGCATCTCGAACTTCTTTCACAACCTCCTGCGACTTCCCCTGTTTTCTTTAAGGAGCTTTTTCTTCATGAACGCACAGTTGTGCCGCTTTTTTCCCTTGAAGGTCTAGTTGAACAGATCATCAAAGTACGGTTTTTTTTAATTGAAATTGTATTTTTGTTATTCTTGCACGAAGGAAAATCGGGGTACAACATTTTAGTCCTCAAAAATCGAACCGCTTGCGTTTATAATCAGACAAAGTGAATCCTCCTTTAGTTTGTTTGCATTTACATGCAGCACCAATCTGATGTTGATAGATTTGGTCCTTAATTCGATTGCTTTAGTCTCTTTTGGAAATACGTATACAGCCGTGTGGTTGCGAAAGCGAAAGCGTGCCGGTTGTTAAGGAGAGCTAACCCGATTACGTATACTTAGGCTATAACAGAGCAGTGAATTCATGCACCCCCACAAACATGGCCTTTTGACGTTGAGTTTCTCAGAAAATATGTTCAGTATGATTGAAAGTTAAATGCTTACGGAAGAAGAAATTTTAAGCTTCGTGTCAGTGAAAAAAATAGCCGTCATCGATGCCAAAACGTCAATACTGGTTACTGGTAATGCTGACCTTACAGTCGAAAAGAAATCGCTCGAAAACGTCCCTAAATCTATGTAATTATTTTAATTTTTAGGAATTTCCGGAAGTTGTTATTTCACGAGTAGTTGGACACTTATATCATCTAATATATTCCGAATTTCAGCTTATCTGTTGTTGCAAACGCTAGTGTTACACCTCAAACTATCTCCAAAGAAAATTTCGACGAGGATTTTGTGCCGACCAAATCCATTGTGCATGATTTTCAGCAAAGGCCTATAGCGCCGTAGGTGCTACGGTTGACCGATTTTGGCCCGGCGAATGACATATTAGCATATTCATTGGCGTCACTCGTCGTGACTTGGCGTGGGTCTCGGTATCGACCAATGGAAGCCGGCAAAAAGGGTGATATTATCAATTAATAACTCGTGAAGAGGGCTTTTCTGCAATTTTTTACTGCACGCCATTATGGCTAGGAACCTTATTAACATTCGTGAGTCTTCAAAATATTGACAGATATTGCAAACGCCAGTGTTACAATTTTCAAAAATGCAAGTCACCAGGCCTGTTTTTCCAATTTCAACGAAAAGTACTGAACATATCAAAACGATTTTTAGCACATAGTTGGATCATTATAAGGGAAATAAACCCTGTAAGTTGCATGAAGATATACGGTCTTCCAAACGGGAGAAATTAATTTTCAAAGATTTCGCCCGCCAACGTGAACATGTCTGTGTGCATGTTGATTCATTCAAAATAAAGTTTTACGTAACCGTTAGAAATCGCCCTTCGCAACCACACGGCTGCGTATAGAGACTAATCCCAGTACGCTATCACTGTAGCCTACATACACGTTGGACCCCTTCAGTGGCGTGAATCCGTGTCAGCAAGTAGGGGATGACCACAAATCTTCCCAGCCATGGGGATTAGACCCGTGACGGTCAAAATTTGTTCTATTCATCGAAATCAAATTTTCTTTGTTGATGTTTACATCATGTTCGTTTCACACCTCTGTATTTCTTATCGCTTCTTTTCACAGCCTGTCCACGTGGCTATTCAAGGAACAGTTTAAACGGCTGTTCGAGGCTCGTTCATCAAGCCGCATCATGGGCGGAGTCACGTGTGACGTGTCAGCGAGACAACCAATCAGATCTTGTCATCGTCGATTCGAAAGAGGAGTTTGATATGATGGTGCAATTGGCTCGAAATTGGCAGCTAAACATGTTATGGATAGGTAATGTTCATTAAGGGGCAGTTATGTTTTATGCAGCGGCGTATCTATAGGTTTTGGGTCCAGGGGGACTGGGGGAGGGGCGGAAAAGAGGCAGTCTATTTTTCTCTGTCCAAATTGTTAAAAGCAGGAGGGGGTATTATACCTGTTATAGATATAATGTTTTAATTTATTTACCGATATGAAGAACAAAAGAAAAATGGACGAATTATCGCCAGGAAACACGTTTCCTCAGTTTCCATACTGGTTTTATGGAGAGAAACTGCTATTAGTTTGAATATTACTAACCAAGGTTGTTAAATGAGTTCCACACCCTCATACCCGTTTCGGTATTGGAAACTTAAAGTTGGTATAAACGTGCTTTTTCCGATTTTTTTCTTTTCGGAACGAAATTTAAAGGAAATGTCGCGTAACAAATAAATTTGCTTGTTGGCTTTTGTAGGTCTTTGTACAGTTAAAAGTGGTTTTAAATGGCGCGCTCCAGTTCAGAAATTGCGGGCCTTTTTTTTTTTCGTGCGATGTCTCATTGGAAAGCTCATAACTAATGTATTGCCAGAAAATTATCAATCCAATTTGAAAATTTATTTTTCAAGGTGCCACACCCAAAAAGCACGTATACACCAGCTTTAATAAAACAAAAACCTTTATTTTCATTTACTTGTCTTCATATTTTTTTTGGTAGGTTTGAGAGAAGTTCCTCTTGTCAAATCCCTGGTTTGGGTTGATGGATCGCAGTTATCCTTTTCGGATGATCTTGCTTCACTGGTCCCAAAAAGTCGGCCCAGCCTTAGCCCCATCCATGCTGCATCATCACCTAGGCAGTCATGCGTTGGCATCAACCTGACCAGCGGAACGATGGAGTTAGTGGACTGTTCCAAAACTTCTGCATTCATGTGTGAAACTCGATGTGAGTACAAGAACTGGGTGGGAGAGATAATACATGGATCTCGGTTAATAGTTGTGGCTTTGCTAGGGGAACAGTTTAAGTATTTGGTGGCTTCGAACTGTTTCACCTAAATTTTAAGTGATGTTTTATCGGTAGATACTTTAATTCTCGCATTATCACCGAAACGTATATTTGCGTCTTCGGTACGTTCAATAAGTTCCTCATCAATAAAAAAGGTTGTCCAAATTCTAATAATGAAAACATTCAAAAATAACAAGTGAAAATCAATCCACTTAATACAATTATTCCAACACCAATTCAGTCACTACTGATTGAAGATGGCAGGATGCGTGACAGATTCATGTTTGTCAAAATTCTACAGCCCCTTGTTCGAATTTGCTCATTCTCTGCTACCCACATTGTGTTGTCTGTGTCTTTTGTGAGAAACCTTTGTAATCGTATATGTTTGAACGTTGGACATGAAGAAAACATGAATTATAGTTGGCTCACTCCACACATAACTGACCTAACTTATAACGAATACATGTTTGGATCGGTACATGTCATGTCATCCTCTAGGGCCCTTGTATCCAATGGGCGTAAATATCCTTGCGTCCTCACCCCCCCCCCCCCCCCCCCCCCCCCACACACACACTTTTTGACTAGGGGGAAGATGGATCACCCCTTCCATTTTTGTAGTGGTAAGAAACCAAAAATGACGATTTTATAGGTTATTTTCCAACTTTCTAACAGCCCAAATGTATTTAATAGCTGAAAGACGGAGAACGAACTGCACCGTCTTGATGTATTGTAAGCGCGCCCGTTTGTATATAGGCCCACATTTGTAACAAAAACAGCGCTAGTGCGAATTTCCCTGTCCGAACAATTTTAGGATTTTGGTAATCCCCCCCCCCCACTCGCCGGCACGGATTTACGCCACTGATTGTATCATTCCCCTCAGGCAAAGTTGCACATCAAGCCCATACTAATACTTCCTTACTAGGTTCCGCTGTATACATGAACCGTGCCACCCACTTCCTCTGAATAGGTTTGCAGGGGGTGGGACATGAAGGAAATAAGGACGGCCCTCAATTACCTCCTCCAAACTTCCGAGTGCTTACTTACACCAATTGATCAAGTCCGGTAAGGACCCATACAAGTGCAGCCAAGAATTGTTGGGTCATGTTACGTTAGATGATTCCCGTACGAATAGATGCAGTTTCATTTTCTTTTTTGTTGCATGATTCAAGCTGTCGGGGCCCTGAGCCCAAAGAGTGTGGAAGATCCCAGCCCTAACGCGACGGGAAAGCTTTGCTGCCTCCGAGTTGAAATGTTCAGTTCAGTATAAAACATAAATAATAACATCAATCTGCATATTGTCAAACTAAGATTGCAACTTCCTCGAAGATACTCGAGACCTTTGGCGCATGTGAAATACGGTCTTAGATTTCAAGAACTGTTTCCCTTAATACTGGAATGTAACAGGCGGACGCATTGTGTTAGATTTGTCATCGTCTTAAAAACGTCGCAGTCGTACTCGGCTCGCAAAACTCGGCGACTGCAATGTTCCCAACGATCGTATCTCAGACGCAGCTTGATCCTGAACAGTCAGTCGCCGACCGATATGTGTCGTCGTACGTATAACGTCGACCTGGCGGAGGCCTGCACGAATCACGTGCGATCGATAATTTAGCTATTGGAAACACGTGTGTTTTTATGTTGTGTTTTTTCTTCAGCTCACTGTCCACGAGGTTTCGTTCTTGACACCAATGGACACTGCTACCGATATGTGACCAATCAGCCCACACCGTGGAACATAGCGCGGGCTGACTGCCGGAAAGCACCGGGGGGAGATCTGGCCATAACCGACAAGGAACCAGGCAAGGAAAGTCAGTTACTCCTGGAAAGGGTTCGACCCAGAGTAACAGATCTGTGGATAGGTATGGACGTTAAAATAAAACTGCCTTATGCAAACCCTAACATGTTTTGGTCAAAATGCTGGGCTCGTGGTTTCATATTTGTATACTTTGGCCAATCGGAGCATTTTGTGATCCCCAATTTTAAGTTAAAAGACGTTCCCTCTAGGCCTAAATACAATATATGAAAAAAAAATGTATTGCCTAAGCCAGAAACGGGCGTCGCGCGCTGTAGAGGTGGTGTAGGGTGTGTATCTACCTCTGCCTTTTTGTTCATATTGTCGGCAAAATCATCATGTCAGCGAAATCGTGTGTCCGTCGGTATAGTACCCTCGTTCCCACGGTGGGAGCAGTATGCGCCCACCACTACCTGCTCTCTGATGACCCTGGTATTGGATCATTTGCATGTTCACTTCGTCGCGGCGTTAGATCCGAAAACGCGATTGTTTTTTTTAAGTTTAAATGTTATCCAGCCAATATGCTTTATTCCGTAACATAATACAGAGAGCAAAATGGGAAAAGGGGGAGTTGTTTTGAGGTGGAGTGGGCTGTATAATAATTCACATTGAACGTTAAAATACGTAATGCACGTTAGACATAACAACACCAAGTACACGATATAAATCCATTATTTGCTATTGCTGTATCGAATCAGGATACAGGAAGTAACTTTCCCACCAAGTTTGCTCGTACCCCCCGCCCCCCGCCCCGCAAACAGGACGCTGGGAAGGGCTGATGAATTTGCGCTCTGATTGGATAGATTTTGCGTGACCTGTGCCCTGCAAGTCATCACGGCCACGACCTTGCAAGGTCATGGCCGTTAAGACTGAGTCATCACTTTTTAATATTCCCATTCATAAATGGTTTTTTTTGGGGGGGGGGGTGAAAAGCGTAATAATGTAGGAAAATCTGTTTTGTCAATGTGCAATTTCCGTCACTTGCTAAGGCTCCGTTTCGAATTCACGAAGGGTCAAATTGCATATTATGCGACGCTCAAAAATTGTCCACATGGTCCGCATTGAAAAAGAAATCACATCCGGTATGGAATGTGTGCATTTCTATGAGCAAGTTTTCGGATAGCATTTGCGCGCATTGGCTAACTTCGGTCTTGAACAGCTGCAGCCAGGCGCCTTTATACACAGGTCATGATAAGGTACCCAGAATGCCATCCCCACTTCCTTCACAAGATTCTGTGAAGCTCATCAGCCCTTCCTAGCGCTCTTCCTAGCGCTCGGGGGATATACGAGCGAAGTTAAGAAAGGGTTACTATTGGAAACGAGGTTGAAAATAAACCCCTGTGGACGAGGTTGCATCAGTAAATACATGTATGTCCCAACGAATAGTGATATTGTCTGATAGTGTCAAATATTGTCCGCTTTTCATTTGAACACCGCCTCCATAAGTGAAATAGTGCCCAATTCCCACATTTATTTATTTTGCGGAGGCCGGTTGGCAAAGTTTTCTTTTTCTGGGCAGTACCTTAATACGCAAGAGTGAAACATAACTGAAAATTTTCCTTTTTAGGAAACAATTCGGTGATGTGTGGCGTGCTTTTAACGACATTTTGCAGCGGCCGGGTGGAAAAAATTTCTTCAGCAGGCTAGTTAACACTTATAGAGAGCATTACATTAACATTTCAATGCGCATTACAACTAAGATAGAGTTTCACCTTACTACGCATGCTTGAAACTAAACTCAAAAGGTTCCCTTTGAGCATTCGTTGATATTTTTGTAACCTCATCTGTTTAACATATTGTTTGTGTTCCTCTGTACCTTAATGCGAACTTGTATGCATCATTTTTCATTACGAATTTTGATGTGATGCGCCCTCGAACAGGCTGGTCACGGAGAGAGGTAGCACAATAGAAGTTCCGATCAATTATTATTATGATTACAATTAAACATATCACGTGAATATGTCAAGCAAATTGAAATAACTTCGTGTAGTTTAGATTTCACCAATGCAATTTGGTCTAGCGTCGCCCGAGAAACCAGAAGTCACCAACAAGCTCACAAGACAGTGTCTATCATTTTCAGGCTTGTATCATGAAGCGCCCTCTGGTGTCTGGAAGTGGGTAGATGGCTCGACGCTGATGAATGGTGCATGGAAGTCAGGGGAACCAAATAACCTGAATGGTCTTAGAAACTGTGCGGAGATTGACACTCATGCACGCTGGAGCAATACGGACTGCAGTCGAAACTTCTCTTACGTTTGCGAAATACAAGAAAGTAAGCACAGAAGGGCACATGAAAACTCAATGAACTGATATGAGGCAATGATGGATATCTTAAGTCCCCATTAGCAGCGTGGAGGAGGTTGCATCTGTCTCCCCCCCCCCCCCCCCCAGGCTGCCCATTTTTATAAAATCCATCAAAATGACTTTTGATATTACTATCACAAGATATTTATACTCGATAGCATTTTTCAGAAGGTAATTTGAAACGCTGCAGTCCCTTAATTATTATGACAAAATAAATGTGACTAATGAGAAATTATTATCTTTATTTGCCGTTAGTTTACTAATGTTAGTTGTCCTTGATTTGTACGATGAAAACATTTATACAAATGAATTTTATACCTGGCAGACGGGGAATGCTTCATTAACACTGACGGCAGCGACTACATGGGTCACGTGAACATCACTGCAACTGGAGGCAAATGCTCCAATTGGAACAGAGATTCATTGAGCGCCCTCAACGTTGAGGCCATCTCGGATGCTGTATGGTCAGATCTAGTAGGTCATAATTACTGTCGCAATCCTGGCGGTCTTAGGGACTCGGCCTGGTGCATAGAAAACACGATTGATGGGTCGCCGACCTGGCAATCTTGCTATATTGGTGAACCACAGGTTACATGCATTGAAGGTATGTGTTTAATTTGATTAGTCGGACTTTCTTTGTATAAACGATTTAAACGCTTGAGCGTTTATATTTGGCATTAGTTTAGTTGGAAAAGGGGGATATCGTGCACCCTCGGAAATCAATTTCTAATCAACGTCTCTAGGTCAGAAAAATGCGTAGGAAACGATTTGCTATATTAAATAATTCAAAAATGTCCCACGTATTGTTTTTATGCAAATTTCTAATAAATCGTCACTTTAGAATTTACATATTTACCTGCCAAGGACACACATAGTTTCTTCGTGAATGGTCTTCTAATGATACTTGACCCTCAAAACATGGGTTTAGACACCTTACTTGTGTAGTTATGTGCTATATTGGCCGAGATTTGTCAAAAACATGATTTTCCGGTATTAGCGGCACTAATTTGCATATTCCTATGCCACAGACACATGTGGTCACTTCCAGAATAGTTTTATTGTGATCTCTGACCTTGAAAACATGGGTTTAGACACCTAATTCGTTCAGTTATCTGCAATAATGGCTAAGATATAGTGGGAAATAGATTTTTCGGTAATGACGGCACTAATTTGCATAAAAACAATGCGTGGGACTTTTTTTTTTAAACAAATCGTTTTCTACGCATTTTTTCTAATCTAGAGAAGTTGATTTCCGAGGGTGCACGATACCCCCTTCTTCCCGCCCAACTAACTGAACGTCCTGTCGACTTCGCTCGTCCCCATACGCTCCTCCCTATAGGGCGCTATAGTGACGTCTAATGTCTCTGATATCCCATGTCGCATAGCAAGTGACCTGGTTAAACACTGTGTGCACGACCGGTGGGCTGTGAATTAACGTCAAACATTATACCCACAGTGCTTTCCATTCCCGACATTTTCGTCACCGTCACCACGAAGTGACCTTAACCCCGCAAAGTGGAAAATGTATGTTTCGAGATACAAGCGATTTAAGTTAACGATGTTATGAAACGGTGATCTGAATATCGTTTTAGCCTCAAAATTCATATTTTGTTGCATTTTCTGAAAGCTGGAATCTTGAATGACACGTTAATGTATGATTTGTATTGAACAAATAACTGTTAATGAGTTATCAAACTAATTAATCATAAGTACACTTCGTGAAAACTCAAAAATCAGATAATGCTCTGTTCGAGTTTTCACGAAGTGACGCTACCCGTACGTGTGTATGGCCTTAGCGTTACTTCATGAAAACGCCAGAAGTGAGTCGCGCATATCACGTGACATAATTATGTGTTACTTCGTGAAAACGCAAAACTCGTTTTTGACGCGTATAGTGTGCAGGCAGTGTACACGTGAAAGCATGGTATAGTACACTTCGTAAAAACGCATTTTCCTGTTTTGACCCATTAAGTTACAAACGTTAATTAATAATATTTAATATTTTGGCAAAACTAATTAACTCTGCGATTAGTAACTTCTTGAGCTGATAGATTATGTGTAATTAATCAAAAATCGAAATCGCAAACTATCGGTTTTTCAATGTTAGTGACACTTCGTGGTGACGGTGACGATTTGTTTGATCTTTTTGAAGAAAGCGCCCCGTTGGATGGGGTAATGCGTACCAGCTAAAGTTTCGATCAGACATCGTGGTTTTGCCTGGCAGCTTAGGAAACAAAACCAAAGGCTGTATAGTAGATTGTACTGTTAAAACGAAAAATAAAGGTCTATGTCGTCTACCCCAGCCGATGAAATGAAACGAGACCAAGAGAATCAGGCTGCACCGAACCAACGAAAGTGTGCTTGGATGATAACGGCTATTGAAATGCAACTGGGAACGTGAAATTACGGATATTAGACGTTTCTCAACTTACAGTGTACAAACGTGGCTTTATATTCCATAAGATGTGGAGCCTGATATCAGGCATTCAGGATTATTACATGCTCACGTGTCTTCAGAACTTAAGCCTGGAGTGCACGCCGTTTTTGTCTTTGAAACACGTCTCCCACGAAATGGTAATAATATAGTTTAGGGGAATTGGTTCCGGTTGCTGTTTATTTGTTGTTTTATTATTGTTTGTTTTGTTTTACTTTTTGCTCATCCAGTTTTTATAATGTGTATTATCTAGATTGGAAGCGAACCACGCCGCGTAGTTTTGCTACACCATGTACAAATCGACATGCTTGTGATCGTGGTCATACCTGTCATCCTGTTGCACGGGAGTGTATCTGCCCTAGTGGCTATGAAGGAGGTTACTGCCGTCAGCCATGCGCTCCTGGTAAATACGGCCATGACTGTAACTTCAACTGCCCACCATGCCCTGCTGGAGGTACTTGCCATCACGTGACGGGCGAGTGTCCACACAAGGACGAGGGTGACGTCAACGATCAATTAGGCGGGAATCCACCAGTAACATGTGGAGGGATATGTCGTCTAGCTGTGCGTGTCGGCTGTGTGTGTGATAGTACCAATGGTTCATGTCCCTGCCCGGGTGAGTAATCAACTATCTACATGATCTATCCACGTGTTTGCATTTCAAAATTATCGTGAGTCCTGACAACAACGCAAGTCAGATTTTAGTCGAACGTTTGTAGAAACTGTGTATCTAACAGTTCCTCGGCCTTAAAGATGACTGAAGAGCACGGCACGTTGGGCTGAGCATGAATCTTTGACTGAAAGTTTCTGATATATAAAAAAGGAAATCTTCGCATGTGCATATGAAAGTGTTCTGATCATTCTCCTTTACGAAATGTGTTCAGTATAATGTACATTACGAAGACCATTGAGGAACGTGAAATACTGTCTATTCACTTCGGTTCACAAGGTAAAGCAGAATGTAGGATTTTATATAATGAAAAGTTCTTTGAAAAAGGACGAGCCCTCGATATTGACGGGTGGGCAAAATGAACAATACACACACTGGATTGCAGGATTATGATAACAATTCTGTATTCCAAATTGCTTGAATTTAACTCTAAATTAAGGCAAGGAGCACAAGTAGAAAATCCTTGAAGAAACCATGTCTCAGTGCATGAGAAAGGTCCTGTATCAAATAAAACCCCGACTGCCTGAAATAGCACAGAGAAATACAACAGTTCGGTAAGGAAATACACTTACGACTGTACAGACAATACAGACATTGTATATCGGAATTTCAGAAACACGTGAAAGACTTTCATAAATCATACCATCAATAGATACTCACTCACCAGATACAATAGACCTATATCATGCTTCCACCATTTTAGTCATGTTCCCTGTATCCAATGACAGTACTGAATGATAATGTTTTGTGCAAAAAGGAACCAGACTATTTTCCCCTCCAACCTCGCTTTGGTTACATTGATTTGAATGGGAAAAAAATCAAATGGCTGCAACATGATGATGGTTTATACAAATGAGCTACGTCTTTTGCATATGCATATAACAGTTGAAAAAGAACGCATGAGGTCGCCCTTGCTCAGGGACGGTCCCCTACATGAAAAAGTGTCTTATGAAACATAGTCTTATTTTATACATTAGTAAGAAATCTCATCCTCTTTAACTTTGGACAAAATGTTATTGCACGTAGATCTTGCTCAATTCTGACCGTATTTCACCATTTGACCGGTTTTATTCACTCTTTTCAGCGTACGTGGTTGCCTTACTCGCAATCGTCATCGCAACCTGGGTCGTCCTAGGTTTCGCCTGTCTGGCTTGCGGCATCATCCGAAGACGTAGAACTTTCACAAGAGTTGAATACAAGCGGTAAGTGCTTTTCGAGGAGTGTGACGTCACTGTTTGCCAATCCAGACGTTATGAAAGTACCAGTCATTGAGTCTCTATGTAGCAGATAACCTTACCTTAAGCAAGTGAGTAAAGATAAGGGATATAGCTGTTCTGATGTAGGCCTACTCAGTCACGTCACAGAACCCAGTTAGGTATCGATTTATACAGAATCTATGCTCTTGCGATCCTAGTTGTTGCACTTCAGCCACTCATCCACCTTCCGGTCACAGTGGTCACACTTGCCATGCAGTGGCTACATTTTCTAACTTTTTCACAATACTGCATCCATTCAGTGCGCCTTTAAAGGACGAAAAACACTGTGAATCGAACTTTGATTGGATTGATTACGTTCGTTTCAAATGGACTTTCGTAAAATGTTGTGCGATGTGACATTTGTACACAAATTGGATGTTGTGGTAAAAAAACGTGATGCCAACTTCGGCGGTTCACTTCTGCACTGCATATCTCTTGAATTATGAGTGGTATAAAGCATTGATATGTATTGTTTTATGGGTCAAATAAAAAGATGTTTATATCGTCACCGACACCGTAACACCCATCTACATACCAGTAAAACTAGCAATCGGAGAAAACGGCAACTAAAGTTGAACGCCTTCTAAAACAACACTTTGCTTCAAAACGACAGAGTATTTTCCAGTTGGGTTTCTCGTTGTGGACACTTGATGAATGAATTTTTCACTCGTTTGTGTATAAATAAACAAGAAATAAGAGAAAAAAGATGAGTGTTAGTTCGTGAAACCGAAAAAGCTGCGAAACTGTAAATTTTCGTTTTCACGAAGTAACACTCTTCAATGTATTTAACACGAGGAAAGTGCAATTTCAGGTCAGCGCGCGCGCGCTCATACAACTTGTTACAAGAAGAGTGTTACTTCGTGAAAACGTTTTTGCTCACTTATGAGCAGAGTGCGCGCCATGCATTGCAATGGAACTTGAGTGTTACTTCGTGAAAACGAAAATTGTCACTTTTGCGCAAAAGTTGCCATGGATACTTAGCGTAATTATTAAAGTAAAGCTCTTGAAGCTTTGAAACTTCGTGCAATGGCCTTGATGAATAATGTTTAAAAATCCAAAAAACTGAAAATCGAAAAATATGCTTTAACACGGTAGAGTGTTACTTCGTGGTGTCGGTGACGATATGTTTGGGTTGCGGCGGTTGCCTGTCTGTATGACGTCACATGGCACATGGTCTATTGGCTGGTCAAATACGTAAATACGGGTCACTTGAAATGTACGGTCACCTCACTGGTTGTGAGATAGTCATACATTCCGCTGCCTCTTCACATTATCATAGCAATAGTTTAGCTTTCGACGTAAAAAACATAAATCGTCAAAAATAACGACAGCGTATCAGACTTCAAATGATAGGGGCTTTCCAAACTACTTCTGCAGCAGATAACATTTGGGAAATGTATGAAAATTAATGTGCGTTCTACCTAGCAAGCCAGCAAATGTGTGAATCCATGTCGATGACTGGGCATGGGGATGACGCAAGTCTGGATCCCAGACCTGACAATTCCCCGACGCCCTGACGTCTATATTGTAGGTATACACCGTTTGACACTTGGTGGCAATTTTCATTATCGAAAATTGTATTTCTACATAATTTATGTAACGCGTTTTATGTCTAATAATGATGGTTTGCACTGCCAACTTTTAACCGAACTCAAGATATGAGCTTCCTGAACTTGCTCCTTTTTGTCTGAAATTTTTAATCCACGACTACGTTGATGTTATTTCTCGCTCAGCATAAAAATCTGTTCGGGGTGGGGTGGGGGTGATCGAATGGCCCATCCCTTTAAAACCTATGTGCGTGCACGCTGTGTTTGGGAGGACCTCCCTGTCCCCCGGGATTTATGCTCGTGCAAGCCAATGATCACAATGCACATTACTCCGCTCAACACGTTTGCAAAGCTTTCCCTGAAAAGGGGAAAGAAATGAAGAAATCCTATGCAGTATCACGATTGTAACCACGGCATACATTCGCAAGGCATAGTCAGCAGACAGATGTATATAGCACTAAAAACGTTTTGAATCTGCTGGATATCTCGAAAGTTTGAACAGCATGTGAACACAGAACAGAACAGCATGCCCCGTTTGTCCTCGGGAATATCTAAAAAGGTTTAGACCCTTTGCATGATGCACCATGAAAGCGGGCATGTCTTTGTTCCCGTGTGGTACACTTGTTTAGGTACTTTGTGCTTTCATTGTTACTTAATTCAAATTTAAAAAAGAAGCCTGCCCATTGTCATGGCGTACCGTGCAAAGGGTCCATCCCATTGCAAGGTTGTACCATTCATAACTGTAGGCCTAATAATCCCCTGTATGTTCGGGACTTCTCGTCACGTCCGCGTTTTGCTTGGGGAGACGGGACCCCATGACCTCGTGCTTACTAGAGACGTCTGAAACACTGCATCACTGAGCTTGTCGTGTAGTCAGTACAGGTACCAGTCAATTTAAATCTGAAATAACGGGTTCGTTATTCCAGTGGGAGAATGTTAAGACATGAACTGTAAGCTGGAAATAGTGGGTTGAGTCCTGCATATCCGAGAAAAATTGGAATGCGCAACATTAAGTCGGCGAAGGGCTAAATATGCATGAACATTAATTGCATCCACCTGACGCAAATTTCCAGCAGAATGTCAATCCTTAAGTTATATGTGCATGTTATTCGATAATGGGATTGACCTCAAGGTAATTAGCCAAACTTGCATAGCGGCTTAGTACAAAATGCACATACGCGCTAGCAATGTCATGTAATGCAGCATGACACTTGTTCGGTCGTCAATGACAAAATTGCAAGACTTTATTTAATTTCCGAAATGCAACAACTCAACCCTGTTTTATCGCCTTCCGGCTAAAATATAGCAAGTCTTTGTTGCTGGTAAATATGATGGAGCATGTATGTGATACAAACTGATGATGTTATAAGTACATTTGACAGTCGACAGGAACATGCCCATATGGGTTTGACTATTGGTATACACGCGTGTCCAGTCTTATAGAACAATTCACTTTGGGGAGGGAGAGTAGAAGGGTGGAAAATGTACTCCGTCCTAGATCCTACATCCAGTATCTCTCAATTATCAGTGAGAAGAACGTTAAACATAGCCTTCAAACATTCGAATTCATTTAACTGAAATTTGAGAAATAAAAAGCTAATGCAAACTACTTACTAATACTGCTTGAGGAAGTCGGGTTGGCGCAGCGGTTCTTTCCTCGCCTTCCACCGCTGTGACCCGGGTTCGATTCCTGCCGTTGCCACATGTGGATTGGGTTTTCAGTCCCTACCTGATGCTGTGGGTTTTCACGAGAATCTTCTTTTAGGATTTTCCTCCCGGCTCTAAGGTGCCTAGGGCGCTTTTGAGGAATCCTTGGGTTCATTTCCAGAAAATAAATAATAAATTGCAAAATAAAGTTTAAAAACTACTGCATTTTGCTTATTTTTTCACGTGACGTATAGACGATTTTTAAATTCATAAATCATTCTTTCCATTGTTGCAGTGCCCCCATTTGTTACCATGCAGAAATACGAAGTGACAGATATGCCACTTGCATTTCATTTCAATTTGTTTTCTCTCCTCTCTTGGTAGTGACTCCGACTACTGCGAAGAAATTGGTACCGACTCGGACACAGATGACGAGTTGGGAAACCAGCAGGTTTCCGGTGAGAAACTGTTCCTCATTTATACCACCAAACCGGACTTAGCACGCCTTGGTTCAGTTTGAAAAGTATTATTGCAATTTTATTTCAATATTGCCTAAGTGCAAATATGAAGACCTTGGTGGGTTAACATTCATTTTGCGTGACATTCAAAATGATCGTCTAATGTGTGCATGAATTCAGTTCAAACTGGAAAGTTTCATAATTACAGGAACGAAATGTTCTCAGTAGTGCTCAAAAGTTTACCTAAAAATAATAAGTTTCATAAGTGTTCTTGGATAATACAATAATGATTAGCATCAAGAATAATTTCGATCGGAACTTTGTAACCATTTTTCCCTGGGGTACCGGTAACTGATGATGACTGGATTTTGATGCCTATGTGCACGTTTCAGTTGAACGACCTTGTTGATTAATTTTCTGTTGCTTTGAGGGTTTCGCTACTTAAGTAATTGTGACAGCTCTAAAATGAGAGTATCACAAGCGGGTAAAGTCATCAGAAGTAAAGTCAATAGTTTAGTCTTCTATACATGTACAAAGGCATTTACAGTCTAGGATTCGCATGTGCTGAAGATTTGTGCATTAAAACGTGAATTGGGATTGACAACTGGGGGACTAAGGGCATGTATAGCACCCTGATCCTACATGTGTCACTAGGCATCTCATCATGCATAACCCTTTTACCTTCTTTATATAGTTTGCCTCATGATGCATTCGGATTTGCATAAAACGCCCCAAACAGAAATCCATTGGTACCGGTATTAAGAAATTGAATGATGCGTGTTATTCATCCTCACTATGCGCCAAAAAGTGCTCTTGTAAAAATTGCTTGATGCTGTGATAGATTTTGATTCACTTTGAAGAAGGTTCTGATGATAAATGGACTGTGTGAGACGTATCGGTGCTAAATAGCCAGTTCGGCTTCCAACATAATTACAGACGACAATATTTGTGCAAAATGTTTGGACTTTGGATCTGAACGGTTTGCACTTATAATTAGGCACTTAAATGGTTGGTTTGTTCTTCATGTGTCACCGTAAAACAATTTGACTTCATTTACGGACAAACTTTAAAATGGTAATAAAATGTTACTGTTGAGTAAAGAATGTGACATAAATCTCATGTTTCCATTTTAGGTCAGCCGACAAAAGAAGTAGTTTGCCAGCCCTCAGTTGGTACTACAGTAGGTATCATGGACAACTTCGAGTCAAGTACAGCAGTTCTTCTCCATAATGCACACCATGGCAGACCGTCTGCACTTCCTACAGCACCCCCTCTGCCAATGGACTCTCCAGCTGATGAATCACCACCTCCATCGCCCTTCTACCTGAATGTGACCCGCTACCGTGACGAAACCGAGTACTCCGATCCATACGAGCTTCTAGGTCGGGAGCCAATCTGGAGGCGCTCCGCCCCCGGCCCAGATGAGGTCTGGGAACCATTCCTATTCCGCCCTGTGACCAACATAGAGGAACTGAACAACGCCCCTAACGGCTACGTGAACGATTCCGTCATCAAACTGAAAGAGAAAAGGCGAACAAATCGAGGAAACCACGTGCCGTATCGACTTCGATTCTCCTTCAGGAGTAAAGAACTTGGGAACAAAGCGGCAGCTTCAGTTGCTGGTGAAACTCAACACAAACGCACTTTCAAACAGAAACCTCCTGTAAAGCCTAAGCCGGACAATATCAAACTGCGACCCCTTTCTGGCAAGAACACGGGTAGCACCAGACAAACTTGTGATGGGTCTGGGACATTATCACGCAGGTCAGATCCACAGAGCAGTACGATCCGTCGTGATGAGTTTGAGCTCCAGATAATCGGTCGGCATTCACCAACAACGTTAACACGTCATTCAACAGATACCAGACGGCATAAGTTCCAGAGGGGAACTTCGGTTCCGAATTCAGGAACCTGTTGCCAAGAGGATCAGGACTTGGCAGCTCTGGTGTCAGAAGGTCATGTCTACGTAAACGAGAAAATCGGACGGCCTCGTGTTTCCAAAGCAAGAAGTGTGGACGAATTTGGCGCGTAACTGAGAGGAAGAAAACCTCATCAACCGCGGTGGATCAGTTTACTTTGCTTCAAAAGACTTGACCATCTGAAAACCTCGACAGAAGTCGAACTGAATATAAAATTTCTTTCGTGAAAGAATAATTTATACTTGTTTAACATTATATAGGTTTTCAACTTTAACACTTGAATTATTATAAATTCCATGCAAAAATAATTTCGTTCTTTTTATCATTCATTTAAATACCTGCAGGATCATTCAATTTCGTTAGTGCCAAGCTAAAACATTACGGTCAAATTATGTTTGTAATCTCTTCGTTATGTTTTCTTGCCCTCTAAGTTCACCTTCAAACGTGTATTATGCACGAACTGAATATGAATGACCGTAGCGCGAAAGTGAATGATAAAACAAGTTCAACGCCAATCACCACATGAGACGAATTTCCCGAAACTAGGACGAATGAGAATGCTATATTCGCGAATTACACTGGACTAAAATTTGAAATCTAATTAATGTAAATTCTAAATTGGATTTAACAATCGAGCCCAACGACGTTCTGAAACGATATTGAAGTGTCTTTCCATGGAATTTGAATAATACAAATGTTCTATTTCAAGAGGATGTTGATTGCTAATCGTTATGTTTATGCATCTTGTAAAAAAAATTGTATAGAGGGAATGATACATAATTTATTTACACTCTTTTAAAGTGAATGAGTCAAAATACGGACTGTTTTCTCTAATTATATATTGACTGCAAATCTAGTCAACGAAAAACGTGCTATGTCGATATTTCTATATTTTTTTCCGGCCAATACTTCCGACCACCAGTAATTAAGTTTACCTTGACCAATTTCAGATACACTCAGGTTTACTCCCGATACCAAGCCAAGTTTTAATGTTTTTATAGTCATGTCTGCATGACTCTATTGCCATTATGCATGCATTCCCAGTTTATTCTCTCTTGTTATTGCGCGCTTTATAAACAATAATGTTGTTTTCCTTGATAATTTTCAGTGAGGCCTTTGGACGGTACGTTAATCATTTCATGCAGGTTATATAGCAGATGGTGGTGACGTTAACGGTGATTCACCCTATCAGTGCGAAGTGTCCGCCGACGACAGCCTGGTATAATATATGTATCAACCCCGTGCAATTTAGTTAAAACTGCAGGAAGTAAACGTATAGGGAAAGGGCGTGAAGTTGTATAGTGCGGCACGGCAAGGCACTTCATGGCATAATTGTCAGCCAGTCAGACTGTCTTTTATCAATCGGAACTATTTTAAAGACATCGCAAAAAGCTCACATGGACAAAAATACTCTTGAAAAACCTGCGATATCGTTAAAAATGATGAAGTCTTAAACGATTCGCGATGTCACGATATTTAGATAGTGACGTGTTTTTTTTCAAATGCAGCAAAAGTAGTTAAATATAATTGGTTCAATGTCTGTTGTAAAGGATTCATCAGCTAATCAACCACATACTTTTTGTGTATTGATATTGAATGAGCATCAAATCAGCTGGGCTGTTTCAGTAATCAAACTCTGGGATTTTCATTAGTCGTTATTATAAAAATGAATATATTTTGCTTGTGCGTGTCGTAGCGTCCGGTTGGGTACATCATCAATTATGCAACAACCCACTGAAATAGGCACATCTCATTATAATGGTCAGTGATTAATCCCAGTTTCAAGTTTATCAAACGTATTGTTTGGAGAAAAATCTGCAGAGTGAGACTTATCGTGTGGGAAAAAGCAACAAACAGCAATAAAAGAAACACTCTTATGACCTTAAAACGGGGTTATGGCTTCACCCGAACGCCTTAAACGTTTGTGTAAACAACGATTCATACAGTGATTGAGACTGACAAATAAAGACAACGAAATATAACCAATATGTAAAGCAATATATATTACTATGAGAAATGAAATTGTATGTGTTTGAAAGAATCGATAATTTTTGTGTCACAATTTACCAGCTGTTCTGCATAAACTCAAACATGACGGATTATTCAACTCACTCTGTCTGGTTTATTTATTTTTTTAATTTCCAGGACATCTGTTGCCATTAGCTTTTTTTAGCACAATCATACATCACAATAAAAGAGTTCCATTGCGACATCATTATCATTCAAACACGAGGCTGAATAAAATACCGTTGCTGTCTCCAACTGAAAGTATATGCATCCGGTCTGACTAAAAAGGAGTGACGAAAAGGAAATATTTACAATCACCATGCATCAGGAAATGACCGGCTTCAATATATTCCTGGATTAGGTAAGATTATGCGTTCAGTTGACAAATGGTTCAGAATTGGATATGCGTCAATTAATCTTCTCATCACCGACTTCAGTCTCTACGTACTTTTTCACACATTTCCCTATCTGACCACTACTTGTGTGCCTGAGATATCTTTTTTCAATCTTTTTCAGTTGCATTATCGTTTTCCTAAAAGACAAGTGCAATTCATAAGGGTTGAAGTGGCACGAGGGGGGAGATGGGGCCGATAACTGCCGCTTTCAAAGTACACGATGCGTACATTAATCGGAACTTAAATTTAAGTAAGAGAGTTCTCCAAGAGAAAGTTTAGCAGTGCGGAAATCGAAACAGTTGGGCACAAGCCGAGAATGGGGCTACTTTCTCTATAACGTAACACACTTTAAAGGGGATTTTGGAGAGATTTGCTGAAGAATACAATAACTGCACATGGACTGTTTGTTTGTTTCCTCATCCTTTGAAAACGAAGTACTTGACCGTTGATTGCTACTGTGCCGTTGTTTGATCAAAAAAGGAAGCATAAACATTACATAAAAACCACACCATTTTATCATGTTTTAGTGTTAGTACTAAACTTTGTAGTACGTTGGGTATTTAGCCTAACCACCGAAACAACGACGATCTTGAGGCTGTTTGTGGTGTAGTATAGAGGGTGGTCAAAAAACCGGAATGGCATTCTTCCACTCACTTGAGACTCAAACCACATATACCAATGCATGGACAATTTTTTTAGAAGAAAAATAGAACCAAGATCGCCCGATTCGGTCCAGTAGTTTTTGTAATAGAGCCTATTTTTTAAGCAAGGTGGGGGTCATTTTTGTCCAGATAAATTACTAAACCGCGCCCGGGAATTTGACTTACATTGTAATGGATAGAGGGGTCATTATGTAATTATACCCACATGAAAAAAAAGTGTGCTTCACAAAATAGTCTCTGCATCAAAACCTACTGGACCGAATCGGGATATTTTGGTATCATAATCTTCTAAAAGGATTTTCCATCCATTGGTACAGGTGATTTGAGTCTCAAGGTAGTGGAAATATGCCGTTCCGTTTTTTGTACCACCCTGTATACATGTAATAATAATAAGAAGAAGAAGAAGAATTTAAAAAGATTTATACAGCGCACTTATCCGGAAACCCGATCAAGGCACCTACAAACAAACAATAGTCTCCAGTCTAATTGTGAAATAGCTAGTGAAGTAAATGAGATTTCAGTTCTCCCTTGATGATATCCAGGGATGTTGTTTTACGGAGTGTGGGGAATGCACGCTTACCATAGCGGATTGTTTTAGTTCTTTGGTTCTGCTAACAAGTATGAGCCTGAAGGTTTGAGAACCCGACCTGTTTCCTTGAGAAGAATAAGCTCACTGAGGTACCAATGTAGCTCTCTCAGAATGGGTGAAATGTGGTCTTAATTTCCACATCGGACAGCGACCCGAGCTGCATATTCAGGACACGTTGCGAACGAGTTATAGATGTAGCAGGAAGGCTAACGAGCAGGGCGTTGCAACAATCCAGAATTGAAGAATCTAAAGCATATAAGACCTTTTCTGCTGTTTCTTGTGACAGGTACTTGCGGATTCTACTTATGTTGCGTTGGTAAAAATTAGCGCTTCTGCATAAACTTGAGATAGGTGCATCCATACTTAACAGACAGTCGAACACAACTCCTAGATTTCAAGCACAGAATGAGACTGATAACTCGTGATCGGTGATGGTGAGATGTGGTGAGATGAATTTTGAGCGATCAAATCGAGGTCCAAGAACGAGAATCTGTCCCTTTTTCGGCGTTGAGATGTAGAAAAGTGCAACTTATCCTTACCTGGAAGTGGTAGAGACAGTCATGCATCTGGTTGGAGGATGTGGCGGTATCATCACCGGGTGAAAAGGCCTAGAGCTAGGTGTCATCAGCATAGAAGTGAAACTGGACACTGTGATGTCTGGCAATGCCACCCAATGGTAGTGTGTATGTTGAGAACAGAACAGGATGAGCCCTGTGGGACTCCGCAATCAAGGGTCCGCAGGTCAGATATTGAGCTCTGCCTTCAAGGTAAGACTGGATACATTGTGGAGCTATAGTGATGCCAAGCCTGTCAGAAAGACGCTGCAGTAGAAGCTGATGATCTACCGTGCCGAAGTCGGAAGATAACCCAAGAAGGACCAGAAGCAGCATGTGACGATTGTCGATGGCTTGAAGGATATCATATTAGACTCTGACAAGAGCAGTCCCCACACTGTGCCCTTGTCTGTATGCTAACTGCCTATTCTCCAGGGGACTGTGAATTGGCGTAGGACAACTCTCTCCAGAACTTTGGAAACAAACGGCAGAGTTGAAATTGGTCTGTAGTCGCACACCTGTTGAGGATCGAGGCTCTCTTTCTTCAGCAAAGGTGTCACATATGGCAACTTGTATTCTTTGGGCACTTCAGCAGTTTCCAGCGAGGAATTAATGATTGACCTGATGCAGGAAGTAAAAGACATTGCCCACTGCTTCACCATCGACGATGGATTTGGTTTTTCCCTTTTCAATGCCTTTGACCTTATCACTTATTGTAAAGTGCAATTTTTGTCTAAATCTGAAGTGATGATTGGAACAAAATTTCAAAACTGCAACCTTTTTTTGTTTCAACGCTCTAACTTTGACGTTTGTTTTAACACTTAAACAACAATATGCTATACAGCATGCAGAAACAATTGCGAGTTATAGTGACAGGATGATTGATAACGACTTAAGGCCGTCAACCCATAAGGGAATTGTTAATACAAACAAATGGTTCATGTAACTGGGGCTGGTACTTGGTTAGGAAATTGTTGGTCAAAGATTTAACCGATTTTGAATGGGCTTACACATGTAATTTACCAATGTTTGAATGAGGAACTTTAATATGAAATATTTTGACCCACAAACTTCGGATCAAATTTCTGTCAATCTTATTTTTTTTTATTTTAGGATTCAATACTTTACCCAGGTGTATCACTTTCTTGATATCCACCTGCCCTTTTAACCCAAAAGTCCTCAGCGGTGGCGCATATATTCCATGACCGGCAGGCATGTCTCACCATTGCACGTTGATCACGTAAATTGTCCACATTGTGATGAATGTGGGCCTGCAAAATTACAGTGCTAATCATGAAGGTTATAGGAAGTGGCTGCTGAAAACCTTGGCACAAAAAGGCACTCAAACAGAGATCCCGGTGACCAGGTAGGACATTCCCAGTGTTGTAGTCGAGTACTTTTTTTCCGAGTACCGAGTACTGCCGAGTACTGCCGAGTACTTAGGTTACCGAGTACGAGTACGAGTACGAGTACGAGTACTTCCGAGTACAAGTTCAGGTCTCCGAGTACGAGTACTTGTGCTTCCGAGTACAAGTACGAGTACTTGAATTCCGAGTACGAGTACAATTACTTCTATTTCCGAATACGGCCATACTGCAATTGTTTCATTGTGCGTAATTTGCCCAGGCCCTGTCAGACCGATATACAGACCCACTCACGGCTAGCTGTTAAATGTGTTTGTCTGGACACGCACAGAGAAAAATCATGAAACTTTGATATCTCTGCAAGCAAATCAAGCATTTCCAACTGAAAATATTGATAATACCATAAGGACGTGGTAAGTCAGCCTATACCATTTTTTTTCTCCGAGTACTGCTATTCGAGTACGAGTACTTTGATGGTCGAGTACAATTTCGACATGTCGAGTACGAGTACTTTACTGCCCGAGTACGAGTACCGTCATTTCGAGTACGAATACTTTGACAATCGAGTACGAGTACAAGTACGAGTACTCCAAAAAGTACTCGAGTAGTGTGAGGAGCGAGTACGAGTTCTACAACACTGGACATTCCACAGATCAATCATGGGACAGTGCGATTAATTACTCTGTCCCCAAAACAGTTGTAAAAGCGATTCACGACAACAATGTACATGGGCTGGGGCATTATCTTATGCCCGCCAAAATATGTCGAAGACTTTGAAAATGCAACTCAAGTTGCAGCACAAAATCAACAATTGACAGAAATCCTGGTTTGTTCATGTTTCAAGTTAACTGTGCCTTAAACCTACTTTTATTATGCCTGGATATGCTCGTAGTAATGTTTTACAACAAACTATCCAAAGAAGGTTTTCACATACCATTTCACGTACCAAGACAATGGACTTAGTGATGCATGACCAGAGGAATGCAATCAAGATATAAATGGAAAGCTTACTGCTCCTATAGTTTATGATGAAACCATAATACTGCTCAATAAGTTCATAGCTTATTCATATGATCCCTTTGTTTGTGGGTTACCTGTGTTAGGGACACCCTGTAGGACTATATTTCATCTTTACTGTTTTCCCCCACAGAGCTGACAACTTTCCAGAGCAGGCAGTGACTGTGTGTAATAAGTGTCATGGGATGGAATGGTGATGATTATTACGACAAATGGGATTCTTTTGGAGGTCAAAGGTAACACTGATGTAATGACCACAGAAACACTGGGTCAGATTGACCCAGAATCTGAATTCATATATATGCTCAGTCCTTTTCCAGGTCAAAAATGACACTTTTCCTGGTCAAAAAGGACATTTGTCTAGATCATTTTGACCCAGAAAAGTGTCATTTTGACCAGGAAAAGGACTGCAGTGGGCAAATATAGATTCACACTCTGGGTCAATCTGACCCAGGAGATTTTAGAGTGATATACACTGTCGTTCAAATCACAGTAAGGTAAAATATCATCAGCCACTTGACTTCGACTCATCTTTGCACTTTCCTACCATTTTCCAATGATGAAAATTTACGAGGTCTTCAACCGAACATGATTGGCAATAATGTATTATTTTCATCCAAAAACAGCCCACCATCTCCATCGTTTATGATGAAATTCTGCTTTTCACAAAAACTGCGTTTATTATCAGTTTATTCAGGCGTGCATAATATTTTTTTTTATCTTTTCATTTTGGTTGTTCATATTGTGACATATTTATTATATGAAGAGCATTGCAACAGTGTTTTTTGTTTCGTTCAGAATATTTGACATGATGTAAGTGTCTAATATGACATGAAAATAACCACTCATACAAACAAAATGATTAAGGTGTTACGCTATGCAATTTTGCTCTTTTTCATGAAAAATAAAAGCTTCGAAAACTTATAGGCCTAGATTTCGTAAAAACGCGGCTTCGACAACATTAGTGCAATGGTTTCAATGAAGAAGAAATGCTAGTGCATTGGATACATAACCATCTGGATCTAATATAATCCAGAATGAAAATACATTTCTACTTTCAAAGTAAAAACAAAAAATGAAAATGTCATATGTCTTTGCTTTCAGCCCAGCTATGTACTACCTAAACTACGTTCTACTTATAAGCTGCCTCGTCATCCTCACGTGTGCCTTATATTTCGTATTTCGAGAGTGTTGCCAGAGCAACCAGAGTGATGACGAAACGGAAGCAATCATTATGATGCAGCCGACAGCACAGGTCCCAAGCTACACAGAGCTGCCATACGATAGGGACCAGTCTCATAACCACCGTATCGTGCATGAGTATAACCGCGAGTCGCAGGTTCCCTTGTCAACAGGCTCACAAGTGGCTCCACACCACTACTACGCATACGATCATAAACATCTTGCACACTACTACATGTATCCGACCCCTTGCAACATAGCGGGAAGCCCGAGTGCATCTGCGACTGCGTCTGCGCCTGCGACTGCGCGTTTTGTGCAACGTAACTATTGTGACTTCCAGCCACCACGCGAAGACGATCGACCACCTCCGTACGCTCCAAACCACTAACGGGGTAGATGGGTGCATGATTGGGAAATGAAAGGGACCGAGCGTTTGTAAAGTACAATCAGTGAATCTAATGGAGATTTGATTTCGCTTAAGACATCTTTGATTTTTCTAAAAGGCTTATTATCGACAGACATGCAGGCTAATATACGGTAGCCTGTGGCTAACAATTCAAACTGCTTTTTATGCGCTACAATATTCCCTCAGAAAATCAAGACAGAAGCTGTGTCATGCTAAAAGGTCAATGATATATAATTAGTAAAATGTTGCTATAATTTTCAAAACACGGTAGTTCAGATTAAGGGCAAAGCAATAGGTTTGTGATGAGTTGAATGTAAAGTAGCTAATTCCTTTCGACATCCTTTAGATTTTGGGTGCTGCTGTATGAGTTGTTGATAGGGCCTACCAAAAAACCGACGACAAAACATGAAATGGCATTGTCGTTTAAAAGTGGAAATTCTATTATCACCATGTAGTGAACTTTTTAATAATAATAACATTTGACATTTAATAACATTTGACATTTAAGAAAATAGTGTAGGTTTTCCCGGTAACTTTAAAATTTGTATCCTTAAAATTCCAGAATGTGAATAGATACTTTGTTGGGCTGCATTGTTAAATCCGATTTCAAATTTACACCAATAGATTTCATATTTGGTCAAGTGTAATTGTCAAATGCAGCATTCTGCGGACTCGTCCAACTTTCGAGAAATTCGTCTCATGTTGAGACTGGCGTTGAATTGAAAAATCGAGTTCGCTTTTATTGGTCATTCATATATTCAGTAACTTTCCATGGAATTTAATGTTAATTTTTGAGTGTACATCACTACCTGTGTGATTTTAGCTTTGGCACAAAATTCTTGGCTCATAATTAGCTATGGTACTTAGTAACTTGCATCGTCACGCTATGAATAATTTTCTTGGACACAAATTTCGTTTCAAATCTACCAATTTTGTTTCAAAATCCACAATATCCGCAGGTCGTGTACATTCCAAAGTAGGCCTATAACCAAGATAATAAAAGCTGATGAGCTTAAAAACGCATACAGTATACCTTGCTGTAAATCTTGTCATGTGGTCTTTGTGTCGTTGCATACTGGCCTTCTTTTTGTGTGGCAAGGTCTGGTGCCTGGTCCGAGACATGGATCATCCAAGTGAATATTTATAGGCCTAGGCCCAAGCTCTTTGTTCAAACTCTTTCCTGATCTGAAAGACAGGGCATGCCGAATGGTTTACGGCTTCCTGCACATACAAACCGACGTCTCCATAGACTGGCTCTTTCCACCCATGGGTGTTGTTCTTTCCCTCAAAGTCATACTTTCCATACAGCAATAAAATGAATTCCTTTTAACCATACCGTTTCTCAGTTTGAACCGTCGGCATAAATACAATAAGCGAAACTCCAGCGACAACAATATGGCCCAGGCCAACGTCATTAACACTACACGACAAGGTGAAAGGGACCTCTCCAAGTAACACAATTATGCAGACATTTTTAGGTCGAAATTGATTGTAGAGGTTTCCCGTCGAACCGTTTGCTTCTTTTCTTAAATCTAGAGCTGCCCTGCCGGTTTGATTTCTGTAATATCATCAGTAGGCTTATAATTTCATAACGGAAAGGGCGATTATTATTAACTTTTTCCCCGAGTTGTAGCGGAAACACAAATGTATAGACGTCCGCTTTTGACTTTTTTTTAAGTAGACACAGACCGATGGCTTTTTTTAGCATCAATAGAGAATGCACAGTAAATATATCAACAACTGACGTACACGGAATACTGTTGTAAAACAAAATTCTGAACTGCACAAAAAATTGCAATGAAAACTTAAAGCTCACGGGCGGAGCATATTTGAACTTCAATTTTTTTAAATAATGCAGTTTTTAGAACAGAAGCTTCCAGCATATTTCATTCTTTTTAATGTAAAACATTATAACTTGTTGTTTCTTCGCTTAATGTTTTGCAGGTATTAAATTTTCGCTGTCATTTGCGATCATCTTCTGCAAAACAAACGATGATGCGCTTATGGGTAATTTCTACATACTAAGTCCCTTCGTCTGAGTATGAAATGTAAATGTTATAATATACATGTAATTATGAATTCTGCTGTTTATTGCCGAAATTGAAGACGAGTACATTCTTCCGTAGTATATCCCATTAAAATGTATATCGCGAAGGGCATGCAGTCAGATTTATTTCCAAAGAAAAAGCCTTCCGATCGAGTGCGTACACTGTTTTGATACAGCCCGTGTTTCTCTAGCCTTTTGGGGTAGACCAATAATTCATTGTGGTTTTCGGCAGCATTTCGGGATATTATGACATAGCAATGTGATTTATCGCATTCTTATCAAACCTGAGACCCTTTTACCTTACTGCTTAAACTGAAAGCAGAAAGAGCATGTTCTTCAGTTAATGCTATATGATCATAGGCTGACACTGTTCAGAGTTCGTGCTGTAAACGTCAATCCATCAGAATATCAATTTTATTCCAGCCCAGAATTACTCTTTAGTTAGAAAACATCGACGGGATAAACTGGGCTAAAAAGGAGGCGCTCATACAACAATCATCATATTGCACTTGTAATACTCAAAGCCACAACCACATGACCAATCTGCTGATGTGCCCCGTGTCACGTTTATTAAGAAGAAAAAACGTTTTTCCGATTCAAGGAAACGTAATGCAATAAATCTGATGCAGATTATTGAAAAGCTAACCTGTCGAAATTTCATCCCAGAAGATATCACACTTATTTAGAAAACATTGAAAATGCATCTTAATTTTTCTCCGATTTTTCGACGTAAAGCAAGGTTTCTTACCTTTTAAAATGATCATTGATACGTTTTGAGTGAAAACAACAAAGCAGCTAACCAACATACCGTTATAGGTACGAAATGTTACCTTTTATAGTTACTGTAAGCTGATCTAAAAATTGCATATTAACATGACAGTGGTAGTTCCCATATGGGGATGTGATTTTGCGACGGAAAACTCAAGGTAATAATATGTTTGATATTGACGTTCATTAAAAAAAATTGTTAGCTTAACGAAGAAACGGAAATTATTTTTTGGAAGAAACACCTGTTCTTGCAGCTAAAAATGAATAACATTTGCTATATTGATGACAGACACTTTGTGCATACGATAATTTCGTAGACATTAATAGCAAGTGTTTACAGTTTGTGACCTGTCACCACCAAATGAGCTTTAAGTTGAAAATTGTCATTTTGGAGTGGGCAAAAGTCAAAATTTGGTCGAATTTTTTTGTTTTCAGGTTAACCTTAATACTAGTCCCGTTTTACCTTTCTCCAATTTGTTTGTCCCGACAAATGGTTAAAACCTAAAATTGTCCCGTCTATTATTATCTGCAGGATTTTTAAATGCCATTTTCTCAAGAATCCCTTTTACACCTTCAAGTAAGTTAGTGGTCTATATTTCCGTTACTGAACTCAGTGCCTCTTAATGTTGTAAACCATTGGCAAGCTCTTGCTGTGCAGAGTTCAGGTAATTTTACATAACTATCTCAATTCTTAACAAAGTCCGACTTAAAGCTCATTTTGTGATGACAGTTCACATTTTTGGAAGTGGTTAACCTAATGCAAATTTCTCCCAAAATTCCATTCTGTCATTACAATTGGGACAGTATTTTTTACTATCTTTATAAGGTAATTTTTACTTTTTGGCTTACTGGTAAAATCATCGGTTGCATTTGGTTTCTCTATTCTGTGGGTCTCTGTGTATTCGGTATACATATAGCACCTACCACCATAATGGTTCACCATGCCATTTTGGCCGATTACTTTACAAAAAAAGTTTGTGTACTTATATTCAACATGAAAGGCCATGGGCGTCGCCAGGATTTTTTCCAGGGGGGCAAAGCAAATTTTCCCCAAAATTTCCAAACTTTTTCATTATATTCTCAATTTATCAATTTTCCGAGCGTGAGCAGGGGAGCATTTGCCCTAACCCCCCCCCCCCCCCCATCAAATTAACAGCAATATGGCTTCGCACCTCTTTTTTTTTTTTTTTTTTTTCCTTTTTCCTTTTTCCTCCTTGCCCCCTCCCCCCCCCCCCCCCCCATCTCGAGAAGAATGCATATGGATTATTTCCCCGCAACAATCGGGAAGCAAGAAGAATAAGTGCTTATTACACAAATGGGCCTTATTCACGAGTCGGCCATAAAGTGAGGTAAAATCTTCATTTTTGGAACGTGCGAAGAGATGAAAGCAAGTACATTAATAAATAATTCCAGGATGCTTAAATAAATAATTTAAAATTTGTAATTAAACAGTCCCTAATGAATTGAGCCAGATTTAAAAAAAGTGAAAGTAAAATAAGGCTGCATAAATAGTCTGGCGCCATCCCATTCAACAGTTAACAATTTATGAAATACATTCAGGAAACACGACAAATATGGCTACCTCGTGTATAAGGTCCATAGTGGTAGGGTAAATTACAAAATGTTTAGGTTGGGCCTTCAGCCTAACACCTATTGTTATTGTAAGAATTACTTTTATTCTTCAAGACACTTTTTTCAATAACTATTTGTCAAAATGAAAACATGTATGAACTTCAATTGAACTACACTGTCATCAAACTAGGAATAGCACTGTTGGCAATGTGGTTCTCCCACACAACAGAAAATGGAAGAAGAACTTTTAACTTCAGGGGTGCCCAGGCTTGGAATAACTTACCGCAACATTTGAAATTTCCGCATCCAACAAGTCTTAATCACTTCGTCAAACAACTCAAACAGCTGAGTTAAAAAATGAAAATAAGAGAAGGAAAAGGAAACAAAAAAATCACGTGAGCCCTTCCTTCCAGTAGAAACCGAAAGTGCCTAATATTTTGAAATTGGAAAAAGATGTGAACTTGCTTTCAACGATGTTAGTCTCTGCCAATGTTGAACTTTACACAAAAAATATCGGTGACGTCATGAGATGTTCAAGCGCCCTCTAGCGGCAGGTTAAAAATGTCGAGAAACACATTTTCAGTTGATGTGTGTGGCGAAATTTGCGGCAATCGCTTCGAAATTATTGTATATCAATTTCCTTTGAAACGAAATGATAGTCCATAGTGCGCCCTCTAATGGCACAACAATTAGACCAGCGGGCCTACTCGCACTATTCTCTTGGCCATTTCATATCAGCGGCTTAACTTTTTCTTTATTTTCTCCGTAGGCTTTCCCACGGAACCAATCAGCGATCGAGAAATAGTTCAAAGGCTCTCCCAACAGCTGTAAACATACAGGCTTTAAACATGTACGTACGGTGACGATGACCCAGCATCATATCGCTGTCCTAGAACCTGTCAGCGATCGAGAAAATAATTCAAAGGCTCGCCCGATTGTTGTACACATTCGCGACGTGGTGATACGGGGTGCGAAGGCGCGACTACTCCGGCAAATGGGAACTGCCGTTTTGTTCAAATGTATACAGACGGTCCAATTAAAAATTGCCACGCCTCCATTGCTACGAAATGACCAAGACGTTAGTGAGAGAGCGTAATCAATCAAGTGTGCAAGGGCGCTACATATAAACATTTCAACTATCGCTCTTGATCACTGACGTCTTGGGCCAAGACTAAGTCAGCACCAGAGACGCGAACTTACATTATTTAAATACAAATGAGATTTAATTTGAATCAAGACTGAAACAATATATTTTTACTGTCAGATTTTGTCTTTTGTAAGAGGAATAAATCAAATCCTTTTTTTTCTGAAATGAGAATGGTGAGTGTTGTCTTTTTGACTCGCACTGTACATCTTTCAATGCAACAATTATGGACAATCTGAGCCTTGAATGAGTGTGTTATTTGGTGCGATCATTGTTAAATTTCTTTAGTTTGTTTTTGCATTGCAACTCAAAACCAAGGTGCGTGGTTTCGTTTGACACCTCCAAACCGCGTCATGTGATGCCAACATCACTAATGATGACCACTAACAATCAGTAAAAAGTAAAAACCATTAGAAATCGCAGTGTAATGGGCATTTCAGTGCTCA